TATTTTAATTTTATGAATATATATGAAAACTTGTAAATAGTGAGATACATGTGATGTTTATAATTTATTTGATGAAATCATGTTATATTATATATTATATTATGTTCTTTATAAAAAATTAATTAAAATTAGTAAAAATATATATTAAATATTATATTGAATATCATCATATTAGATATAAGTATCTATTTAAATTATAGTTTTATCATTAAATTTTTTTAATACACGGTTGTGGATATTTAATTATAACTATATATATTAATTATAAATGCACATATGCACATATTTAAAATAAAAATAATGTTTTACATAAACAGAAATTCTATTTTATATCCAAAATATAATAATGTTAATTATATTAAATTATAGTTGTTTTTTTTATACTTTATAGCAATGTTTATAGCAACTTTATAGCATTCATGTATTTTGGATACGGAATTTTATGAATTTTTTGAAATATTTATATTGGAAATCGAGCATTTCTTGAAATATCATTAAAAGATAATTAGAAACGAAAATTGACATTTCTCAGAATCAAAAAAAATTCTGTTAATATTTTTTGACTCTTTGATATTCAAATCAAACATCTTTTCATTTACCTCCTCCATTTATCCCCCTCGAAACATGCGGAATATCTCCTTATACTTCTCATAAGCACTAATAATTAATGTTTAGATGCTCTTGAATTATATTTCTTAAATGCTGTATGCGTGCAAATAGTTTGATATGTTTCGAAGAACTACTTAAATCGTGCATATAAATCTAGTCGTAAAATAAGTCACGGAGATGCATATGTAATCGGATATATGGCAGTCAAATTATTTAAAATTTATGATACTATGATAAAAATTTACTAAGCAAATCTGTCATATATATGTTAATGATAAATCTTTAAATGGATTAACATATGTTTTGACATATCTATTTTTATTTGAAAATTGAAATCAACATTTGTCTATAGCACAAAATATTGCTATAACATTGATTATAATATACAAAAATATTATTTGACAAAATTGAAATATTTTTATATGGAATTTAAATAAAAAATGTGTGTGTGTGTGTGTGTGTGTGTGTGTGTGTATATATATATATGTATAGTAATAAATGTAGTGTGTGTAGTATATGTGTGTGTGTGTGTGTGTGTGTGTGTGTGTGTAGTGTACATAGCAATAAGTTAATAATAAGTATAGTTGTTTTTAAATATAAAACATTTAAAAAGAAAAAATATATATATTTTTTATTTCTATTATATATTACATATGCTACATTATTTGTTTTCAGTATTTAAACAGAAAGGAATATTTAAAACATGTACTAACTTATCGCTAACATAGATATATATCAGATTTACTCAGTAAATTTTTATCACATTATCGTAAGCTTTAAGTAACTTAAACATCAGATTTCCGATTATGTATGCGTCTTTGTGGTTCATTTTATGACTATAAATTTGTACGAACAGTTTAAATAATTCCTGGAAGCATATTGGATTGTTTGCACAAAAATAAAATATTTGAGAAAAACAAATTAAGAGCTTCTAAATATCAATTATTGGAATGTGCAAGAAGCATAATGAAATATAATGCACGTGTTTTACAGAAAGCTTTAGAAGTAAATTTGAGCATATTTAATTCAAAATCAAAAAATTAAAAAAATATTAATCGAAATTTTAGAAATCATCAATAAATTTTAGAAATCATAAATCGATCGATTTCTTCTTTTTCTAAATATTCAAATATTCAGATTTAAATTTAAATAATTTAGATGACGATTCCAGATTCAAGTAATTTAGGTATTCAGATTATTCAAATAATCTAAATAGTTTGGTTTTAAATTTTCAGCTCTAAATTAATTTCGAATATTCAGACTCTAATCGAATGGCGATTTGATTTGTGGATCTTTAGCAGAAGATTCGATTTCTAATCAATTTTCCAACACGTCAAAGAAGTAAGCACCCTCTGCTGGAACTAGGCAGAATCGAGGCAATGACAAGCAGTCGATGATCAATGCAAAAATGGCGCTCGCCGAGGTTTGTGGTATCAACTCCTCCGTTGATTTCGGTTATTCACGAGAAAATGAGAAAATCGCTGGCGAAATCGAGGCATATACCAGAAATTTTACCAACAATCTGCAACTGGCAGTGCCGCCGTTCGTAAACGTAAGCGCTCAATGATGATTATGATGTAAATTTGCAGCATCATGCAAATCTTAGACACATAACTTATTAAATTATCATAGACTTTCCTTATATTCTATCGCAGATATCTTTAATAACAATACTAAGTAATAATGATAATAATAAAATTTTTTCCCTGCATTTTTCACTATGTTTTTTGAATTTAGAATTGTCAAGTGTTTTTAGGTTATTACATATCAATAAGTGTAATTGCTAAAAATTGCAAATTTTATAGGATATTTTATATGCTTTGAATATCTTTTTTGCATTAAAATGTTTGATTTAAAAAAATTCACAAATTAAATCTTTTTTTAATTTCTTTATATCTTTTCTTATAGCCAGCTGAAACTCTTGGCCGTATAGCTCAAGGTACTGATGAAACGGGGAAGAGTTTAAAAATCAAGTTTGATCATGGAACTACAACTTTGGGTTTTCAATATCAAGGTGGTATTGTTCTGGCAGTGGATTCACGTGCAACTGGAGGACAGTTCATTGGTAAAGTTTATTATATATCTTAGCTGTGACAAAATTTTATACATTTATGATAAACATTAATCACTTTCTTTTCTAGGTTCATCCACCATGAAGAAGATAGTAGAAATCAACGATTATCTTCTTGGGACTCTTGCTGGTGGCGCTGCTGATTGCGTCTACTGGGATCGAGTCTTAGCAAGACAGTGTCGCATGTACGAACTTAGAAATAGAGAGCGTATCTCTATTGCGGCAGCAAGCAAACTTTTATCGAACATGATTTATAATTTCAAAGGAATGGGCCTGAGTATCGGTAAGATAAAAATTAGATTAAAAATTTCAATAAATGTGTAAGACATATGAGATTTTATATATGTGATCCCATAGGTATGATGTTGGCTGGATGGGACAAACGCGGTCCTGGACTTTATTACGTTGATTCCGAGGGCACTCGTACTCCTGGAAAAGTTTTCAGCGTGGGCTCTGGATCCGTATTTGCATTTGGTGTTCTGGATTCAGGTTATCGATGGGATTTAACTGATGAACAAGCTTATGAACTTGGAAGAAGGTCGATTTATCACGCTACACACAGAGATGCTTATTCTGGCGGTATTATAAGAGGTCGGTTACAGAATAAGCATTGAAATGTAATTTTTTTCTATAATACTGCAGTCTCAATATTTTACTTTATCCTTTTTTTTAGTTTATCATATGAAATCAACCGGCTGGGTGCATATTTCAGATCAAGATTCCAAGGACTTGCATTATATGTATCGTGCTGAAAAACCAATAGAACCAACACCGAGCACTTCCTCCTAGATTTAATTATCAAATACACACTGTGCAGGCTAATCATTTATGAAATAAAACGAAATGGTTTCTATATGTATAATTTATGATAAATCGTCGTGTTGATTTCAACACTTCCATTAATATTATAAAATTTTATCAAATATTTTCATAATATTCGTTCGCCTATAATAATTATGTCTAACAAATACTAATAAGAATCAACTTTCATTCATTCTTTTATTTCATTAAAATTATCATTTGAAATTATCATTTCGCATAGTAAGTTTCATCAAGATTAATAGATAATTCTTCAGAAAACTGAATATTCATATTTCTTGTATCTCTTATATCAAAGCAATATTGAATTACAGATAAATATTTATATTATAATTGCGTTAATTAAATCTTATATAAAAATCTTATATGAAAAAGGTTTAAAGAAAGTACGTATTTAAAGTTTGATTTCTAACGATACACGGTTGATCATGGATCGTTATTGTGTATAGGCACATTATGCTCGCTGCTGTATCTATATTCGAGCCGGGACACCGCGAGAAGTATTAACGGCATATGTGTGGCAACCCTTCCCCCTCCTCGCATTCGGCAGCGCAACGCACACGAAGGCGTTGGGAGTTGGATGCCGCTATCGCTACGCCGGATCGGCGAAACGAAGTCAGTGCCGCGTTGTGGTTGCGACGATTGGACGGTAGCATATTGCGACTTGGAATTGCATATCGCGGAATTCAATCGAGATCCTGCTCGGTGCGAGGATATCAGGATGTCGAGCGATGCGGACGAGTGCAGGCTGAAGGGCGGGCATCCTCCGGCAGGTTAGCACGATTTTCTTTTTCGCGTTCCATCCTTTGCGGAAACTACGCGGGAGACGGGTGGCTGACGCGGTTCCAGCCGCGTCGAATTTGCGACACAAATTCTCGTGACGTACCACCTGTCGATCGCGATTTGGACTTCCAAGGTCGGCCTCTCGCCCGAACAACTTCTAATACCGCGTGTTTCTCGTGCGACTTTCGCCTTTTCTTTTTTTTCTTTTTTTTTTTTTTCCAGTGAAAGCAGGCGGCATGAGGATAACGCAGCACAAAACGCCGAAGGACGAACGCGAGACGAAGCCCAGTAAAGACATCGAGGAGAGCAGACCATCCAGCAGGTGAAATAGATCGTCTATCGATTTCGATTTCTTAGCGCATGTATGCTAAGACACACGTTCATTGTGATAAAATATTTGTCCCTTGACGCGGACTCAGCGATTAATTAGCGACTTCTCGCGGATGTCGAAAATGAAGCAACCGCGGCTGGTGCAGACGGCGACTCGCCGTTCAGGGCCGGTTTAATGGAGGGGGACGGATGAGGAGCACGATGGAAAGATTTAAATTACTCTACGTCGGTCGGAATTGAATCTTGTTGGTTCACAAACAATCAACTAAATTAACATCAACTAAATTACTGATATTCTAAAGGAGTCGTTATTGAATTTATATCAATTTTTATCTTGAGTATTATTGAAATTTTTTCTAATTTAACAATTAAAAACAATGAAATAATTGATAAATAATATATGGAAGATTAAAAATCGTAGTAATGTAAATCAGAAATTTTTAAAAATGAATTATTCATTATTTCTTTTTCTTTAGCTTCTATTTAATTTTATAACAAGTCAACTACTAATCAACTACTAATTTAAGTTGATTAATTAAAATACATTAAATTTTTAGTAAATATAGATACAGAAAAATATTTTTAGCAAACAGATTATATCGACTATACCACTATAATTTCCAGCCCTTTATTTCTTTTAATTACAATTTTTTTAAATTGTAATTATAAAGAAATAAGGGACTGCAAATATTTCTTGTAAATTCGTTACAATTATATATTACTATCGGCTTGTATGTCTGTAATTATACAATTATTTTTCCGGGCCTCCGCAAAATCGATTGCAAAATCGATTCTATCCACGTATAGTCTGACTTGCGGTATCTCAAAGCATATGATATTTATACTTGTTTATTCCATTTAGTTTTTTAAATATTTTTAAATATGAAGAGAAAAAAAATATAAAATCGAAAGATAAGATCACGCGTCCTTACCGATTAATGTATTCCTGCGCGATGTCATTCTGATGATAAGCGCGATTATTGCCGCGCTCTGCATTTACATAATACAATATTGCGTAACTGAAAATAAACGTGAGATACATCTGAAAAAATATTTACACGAAGAGAGTTAAACTATACATAAACGTCAGGTGAAGATGAACTTAGGTGAAATTTCGACATCAATTACATCGTGGAAAAACTCATAAAAACTTCTCTGAGCTTGCAATGATAAATAAATATTTTCTTCATTAAAAAAACACGTAATCTGTATACATGTTTTTGAGATAATTTCCTAATTCGATGACATTAATTAATCGATGACATTTGGCGCTGTTTGCGCCAAACTGCTTAAAAATAACTTGACTCATCAAATCGTCGATGCGTCGATGTCATATCGGTATCACAAAATTTAAGAAGCAAACAAGATTTTCGATTTTTTCGCCACGTATATATTTATATGCCACAAGAATACCCCAATTTTTCTAGAATTATAATATTAATTAACGTTTTCAAATACTTTTTATACATTACTTTCAAGATATTACCAAAAGCAATATAAAATATCCGTAATGCGTTATTTTCATTTTCAGTCATATATAAAAAACGAGAAAAAGAATTTTAATGTTCGCAGTCCACCGAAGACGATAATGATAAGTGGTGCCCCGGCCAAAGGAAATGCCGATTTTCCACCGGAAGCTGTGCAACACTTCCACGAGAAGCCCACACCAACGCATGACGCACGGCCGGCGCATTGTTCGCGTCCAATTATCATTCATCAGCCCAGAAAGTGAACTATACCTCGCGAGTTGTGCACCGTGTTGATGGATTTTGGTCCACAAAGTCACACGTTGAGTTTGAAAAAAAAGAAAAAGGATTATAATTATACAGATATATATATATATATATATATATATGTATATATATATATATATATATGGAGATAGGTATATATTATATATAAACGTACTTAAACAGAAATTTTTAAAAAAGAATTAAAAATCGTTTGGACTTCGCGCGGCAGCGTTTGCACTGTTTAATCCTTGATCCTTTAACCAACGAACAATCGAAATCTTTCTTTTTTTAACGAAAATTTTTGTATCACGAATTTCGAAGAAATTCGTGTAAAAAAAGTTCGCGACTGCGAAAGCAATAAGTTGCATTTCTTCATCCTTCTCTAAGGATGAATAACGGGCAGGACCCGCGTAAACTAACCGGTTAAAGAATTAAGAATTTCGATTTCTTGTACACACAGATATTAAATCACCTTACGAGATATTATATTGTTATTAAACACAAAAAAGAAGAAAGTTTATTTTTGACGTTACAAGATTCCGTATATTGACATTTAACGGGCTTTCCCGAGTATGTTTTTAACTCGTTATCGCTTTTATCTTTTATCTTATCGTTTCATTTATATTAGATACGACACATTTCTTACAATTATTACGATTATAACACGATTACACATGATTATTGTTTTCGGGACCAGTATGTACTGCAACTCGTGATAAAATTTTCGCATTTAGTTTCTTTCTTAATCTTTACTCTTATTATTTTTCTTTTTGTATCTGTCTGATCTCTTTGATCTTAGTGTAGAAATTAGACATATCGCTTTAAATTTCAAGGAATCGAAATACTTTGTTAACACAAGTTAATGTTAACATAAGTTAAGCGTGTAAATGTCGAGCGAGATTCGTATTTGACAACAGTTTGTATAACATTTGAGAGGGAATAAAAATTCACATATGTACATAATCCACATGTGAGGTATCTTCATTATTTATCAAAAACTAATATTCAAATAATTTTAATCATATAATTTTTGTAAACATATAATTGGATATTATTAATATAGCCGAATATTAAGTTTAATATTAAATATTAATTACTGATAAAGTAGTTTACGCGTTACCATCTTGTGAACATCGCAGTTTACGAAACAATGGAATTAACAATGATCCATGTTGTAATAGTAGGTAATCCGCAAGCCTCAATATAATTTTGAAATATTCATGAAAGTCTCAAAAATATAACTAACTACTGACAATTATTAATGCAAAAATAGATTTAACTGTTGTATAATAAAATATTTATTTGACATATATCAATAAGGAAAATTTAATAAAGAGCTGTCAATGATATATAAATATATAAATTAATGTGATAGAAGTAAGACTAATAACAGCTCAATGATTCTCAATGATCTTGTTACAATATGCCTAAAATCCACAATATAGAATTAGAAAACGCTATTGATTCTTCTCTGATACACTTTGTTGCTCTATGTAACCTTTTAAAATTTTTGAAATACTCTGCACACCATTGGTCACATAAGTTGGAGTTTCAGACAGGAATTTCATGCTTGCTATGACTCCCTTATTCCATGAGGATTTTACAGAGTTGGAGAGATCGCTGGTACTTGGTAATGGTGGCAACTATATGTGACAATGTAAAAATTTCTTAAATGAATCTAGTAAAACATTGGAGCAAAAGTTCATAAGACAAAATAGAAAGTTTATAATTTTACTGTATGCACAAATAAAAATATTAGGATCTGGACATAATAAAAAAAAAAATAAACAAGGAATCAAACAAGGAATTAGAAATAGAGAATTAAATTTCGACATATAGGAATCTATGCTTTAATATGCAATGAAACACAGATTCCTTATTTTCATTTACTGTGTTTGAATCCTTACTGTTCAAGAATCAGTAAGATCAATCGCTTTTTATCCCACATAACTATAATTCAATCTTAACGCTAAACATTAAAATTTAATATAAATTTATAATATGTAACTCGAAAAGTGCTGAAATTACATGCTAAATGGAAACATAGTTTGAAATAAAACCCACCTCATTGATGACCTTCTTGGGAATATTGTCCTTAATATAAGGAGTAACATTATTGTACAACCTCCCATATAACTGCACGCTGTCCTCAGATTTGGACCACAGGCCCTGCTGAATGCTGTAGTAAACGATACCGCCTACGAGGGTAGATTTGATGGCAAACCTGCGAGATATAACCTCTCGTCGTAATTTGATTTCGACTAGTGGGACAATGTAACATGCGAATACCGTGACAGCGTGTCCTCTCTACTCCTCAGCGAATGTACTAACCGCACGATACTCATCGTTCAGTGGGAAACTACTTTCAACAAGAGTAGATTTGATGCAAAATGTTCCAAATCGAACATCCGCCGTCTGTCACAGGCGAAACTTACGTAAAGTCTGCTAAAGCAAGAGCGGCGCAAGTCAATTGTCAGACGCGAATGCCGATCAGCTGACCGAAGCAGGCATTCATGAGTTTCGCCGCCTATGTCTAGAACCTGAATCAATTTTTTTAAATATTTGTATATAAATATTTATAATTATAGTTTTATTTAACTTGAAATAATTTCGTGACAAAAATTTGCTCAGGATTAATAGTCTTATAATTAGGATTTTATCGGTGATTTCTTTTTTTCTCCTTTCAACGCTGAATTAAGGCCCTGCGCACAATGGAGCAAATATAAGAAATAGGAATAAATATTAAATTTAAAAAATAAAAATTAAACATAATGAATACGCACAATGAATACAAGTAAGTATAGGATATTTCTATATTTTATATTTATTTATATTCATTGTGCGTTACATGTAATTTTTATTTTAAATTTTCATTTCCAAAATTTAATATTTATTCCTGTTTATAAATATTCGCTCCATTGTGTGCAGGCCCTAATGCGCCCATTCAATATTACAACTGTCCATTGAATGGGCGCTAAGTAGTAATCAAATATTATTGGTTTTTCTTTTGGATCCAACCAATCATTCCAATTCAATTGAAACCATTCAGTGATTATTAGATGCACTCATGTACACGTACATCATTTTGAGTGCAAAAAGAGTATATATCTTTATAACACAGCTGCCTCAGCAGTAAAAAAAGAATAAAGTTGAATCAATAGATTTTTATTCTAAGATTTGTTCTTTATAGTTGAATTTCTTATGTTGTTTATTTATTCTCTTTTTTATCAGTTTCTAATTATATTCGATTCATTTCGAATGCAGAAAGAGTGAATAGTATATCTACAAAGAACCAAATGCCAGCGCCAAATTTCAGTCAGTGTTGTGCATCGTGTGTCGAGTATGACTCCGTTATGATGGAATGTCAGTTTCTTTTCTTTTCAATTAAAATTTTATTTGTTTAATGATAATCATAGTTCGGATTGTGAAAGTGATGGTGCAGTACTCGGTGGCATCGAGTTATTTATCCTAATTTCAAAATTCTTGATTTATAATGTGGCCGATAGAATACGTCGAATTGAAGGTATTAAACATGTGTGATTTTATACATTATGATTTTATTTAAAAAAAAGTAAAATTTAATAATATATTTTTTCTTGTTACAGCGTATCGATGAGTTATTGCAATGTGGAATATGTTATGATTACATGGACACTAGTGTAATAACCTCCTGCTCTCATAGTTGTGAGTGATTCAATAAAAAGATCTTCAATATCATACCTATTATTATACCTATCATTTGTAAATTGATATAAAAAAATTGAATATATATCTCATACATATGATTTTAGATTGTTCCTTGTGCATTAGAAAGTATCTGCATTACAAGACCCAATGTCCAATTTGTTATGAGGAAACCTTTGAGAAAGATTTGAGAAAGAACAAACTTCTGGATGAGATTATTGTTTGTTATTTAGATTTTAAAGACAAACATGGCAAGAAATTATATCAGGAAAAACTGATGACTGCAAAACATGAAGACTCTGAAATTATGTGTTCCACTAGTACAAATAGTACTAAATGTAAAAACGAAGTTTTTGATATAAATGAGATATCGCCCAAAAGGCTTGATAGTCCAATACTTAAGATTGGTAATACTACACCTCATAGACAAAAGGATTTTCAGCCAGATATATCCACTCCTAGCACCAGTACAGAATTTAGAATACCTTTGATGTTTACACCAAAGAGCAGAAAAGATTTTCAAAAGGGAGAGGATCGTCAGATAGTTACATGTCCAGTATGCAAAGTAGAAGTATCTCAAAATAATATAAATAGACATTTGGATGACTGTTTAAAAAGAGAGAATGCTAAGGATCAACCTAAAATGTAAATATTATCTTCTATTGTCTTATTATTTCTTAAATTTTTAGAAAAATAATATCTGAATATTTTGAATATTGTAGTATATTTTCTGTCCTTTTTTTAAATTTAATTTTTAAATTAACTTTTTTCTAGAAGTGCACAAAAACGTAAGCCATTGCCAAAGTTAGTATTAAGTTTAATGAAAGATAATGTGATACGAAAAAGATTAAAAGAATTAGGTTTATCATCTCAAGGAGACAGAAAGACTTTAGAAAATAGACTGCAAAGATATATGATTCTTTATAATGCAGAATGTGATAAAACAAATCCAAGATCTGTATCAGAATTGATTAAACAGTGTGAAGAAGAAGAAAATTTGGAGAAGAAAGTACAGAAACCGTCAAATGTAAATATATCATATTATGTATTTTATATATTTGGTTTTAAATATTTTACATATTTGGTTTTTATATCTTTGGTTTGGTTAAAATTTTTCTATATTAAATTTAATATTGAATTTTTAGAAATTGAATGTAAACAAAAATACCGAACATAATATTATAGAGCAACAGAGAAAAAAGTATTGTAAGTATCCTAAGATTATTTGCAGATAATAGGAATATAAATTATAATTCCTTAATTTTTCTTTTTTTATTTTTAGTAGCTACAAATAAAGAAAGTTTTGACCAATTAATTGCAAAAGTAAAACATAGAAATAGTTCACAAAAGATGTCTGCCAGGCGCAACATTTTAAATAAAAAGGATAAAAAGGATTCTGATATTTCATATAATGATGATGCTATAGAAAAGAATTCAACAATTGGAAATGGCCAGAAAAATGATTTTTTGCCACTAAATTCTATGAATATTGAAGATTCGGATTCGAATATATCTTATTCTTTGCAAATAAATCCCATGAATTTTTTGACAACAGAATTGGCTTCTTCGTCTAATGATTCTATTGATCAATGTGCTTCCAATGATGATACTTCAAATCGTTTATATGAAACTAATTCAATTTCGTTTAATTCTATTATACCAACGGAAAATATAAAAATTGATAAACCATCCTTTGAAAATACATTAGTTTCTGAAGAAATGGCTTCTAGTAATTCATCAAGACAGTACAATGTTTCGGAGGATGAAATGGACGTTGACAACAAAAAGTCAGTTTTTGAACTTTTCAAAATTGCAGAGAAGAAGATAGAACAAACTAAATTGTCTGTTAAGAGGAATGAAAATGCCACAAAACATAGCCCAAACAAATACATTGCATACTCTAAAAATGAGTGGCAGAGAGAATTGCGCGATGAAGATTTAATTGAAGAAGATACTGAGCATTTTGTGAAAGCAAATGACAATATTGATTTTCAAGATAATTTTTGGTAAATAATTTTTAATATTGAGAATATCAAAATAAAAGTTATTTAGTTGTTATATATTGTTTTATTAGAATAAAATCTTTATAAAACAATATTGTTTTTTACAGGGAAATCATATCACGAACAGTTAAATAAGAAAGAAGAATATGCTTCCGGTAGCACAAAATTCGAAAAAGAAAATATGAAGGCATTGTATAAAAATCTAGCAGTTTATACTCCTCGAAAACGGGAGCGTGATATAGCATTCGCATTAAGTGGCGAAGAAAAAATTGGAGATAAAATGATGAATTCTAAGAAATCATTCCGTCTTAGCCTCTGTGAAGCTAAGGGATTTAACAATGAAAATATCAGCGAAGTAATACAAGACGAAGAAAAATTGCAAAGCGAGAAAGTACAGTCGCAGGTAATTCACACAAAAAATATTCACAATGTTGAGAGAAAATCTGTTAGATTAAAAAATAAAATTAGTAAAATTAGTAATTAGTAATTAAATGATATAAAAAAATTAAAAATATAAGTTCACGCAGGAATAATTGAATCATTGAAAGAAATAAAAAAAGTTTTATATATATTTTATTAATCATTATATAAGAAATACTAGACTAAAAGCAAATCTTTTGTATATTTAATTGTTGTACATATCTTTGTGTCTATAGTGCCTTGAATGTAAAAAGATGCATATTATTTATTTTTAAGGCATAACAAAAAGAAAAATAAAAAAAATTATAATGTTAGTATTAAATATCTCTTTTTTGTATGTAACATTTTTTTTTAATTTTATACAATAATATATATTGACATCCTCTCAAAAGAGATTTTCACGATTATTTGACATATTAATTTTTTAAATATTGTAATATATTTTTATTTGATTATGATTATATAAATATTATATTAAACATTTTATATGTTAATTACAATCTGATATTGATTAAAAAATTAGTTAAACAGAATAAAAAGTGCGTAAGAATTTATTCGTTCATATTTTCCCGTCCAAATGTAACATTTCGTTACGTCATTTTAACGCTTGATAGGGAAGATATTGAAATCTTTATCAAAGAAACATTAAATTTTATTGAATATATATATTATATACTATATTATACCAAACAGGAAAAGGAGGCCAATGATAAAACGATCGGCGCAAATCTCGATAAAACTTACATATCTCAAATGTATATCCATAGACACTAACAATAATTTAATAAGCTTAACACAATGTCAAAATATAGCTGCCCATTTCTAACAACCTCTTACGCAGTAAAATATCTGTCTTTGATATTACACAACTTTGATATTAATCCAACTTTGGTATCGATTTATACAATTGTACAGTTAATTTTATGTACACATCGTGCGATTCGCACGACAAACTCGTCTAAGTTCGTAGATTTACAGGCGCTAATATTCTAAACAGAACGGCTATCACATTCATTACACATCTCGTCTAATTCTTATTTAACGTTATTGCATTGTTATAGACCGTTAAACTTTATATGCCGACACCTCTTTCCTCGCTTGTATGCGAGGTGCGTCATTAATGTAATAATGTAGATTCGTGTACTTTAATAAGTTTTATCTCTAATTCTCGTATTTAGTTTCATGGAGATTTAACCGTTTAACAGAACGATCGACTAATTCTCTTATAATATGTAATGTAATTTTCTTACATTACGTGATTAGAGAGATATATATAGGATTAGGAAATACACATTTTCCGACATAAAATATCTTTTTCCTTAAACGAATTCGCGCAGTTAATAATAATCTCTGTTCCACTGTGGTATGGCATCACGCGAGGTAGTTACTCAAACGTTGATACATCCCTCAAATATATTCTATAAGCGATTTTAACTTTTATCCCGTGCATTATTATTTGTCGATCTTCCTGAAGGAGATCGAAATATTAGATGCGTGAGACATTATCTTATAAGCAGTAATTTACAGCATATTACAGTAGTAATATAGTCACAATTTGTTTATTAGATTCATCAGCGACTCATTCACAGGACTCATTCTTGACGCTTACAAATAGATTGTCTTTTGATTCGCTAAGAGGCCAGAGATGGTAGCCTTAAAGAAGTTAGTTATTAACATAGCGAAATGACTTTCTTCGCTGAAAAAAGGCCAATTGTCTCCTACTATTTAATTAGTTAAATCCATTAATTTATTTATAAATTTATTTAATTATTTAAAGAGAAATTCCTGAAAATAGATTATCTCTTTTGCTTGAGACGGAAACTCTGTCGAGTTTCTTTTATCACACTTTAAGTATATTAATTATTGTAAATTCTCTTTTAATCACGAATGGACGAAGTTAAAGCCAAAATGTAAGTTAACTGCCTCACAGTGAATTCATTTCATATGAAATTTATTTCTCGCAGGACAGCGCGGAGTTGATAAAATTAATTAATTCACATTTTTTGTTCATATGAATTCGCAGTAATAGACGTCAAGCTCTTTTGATAAAATTACACTTTCTGAGATAAAAATACAGTATTTACATGATAAATATTTTTCACGGCAGCACAGCTCTATTTTTGAAATTATTAGAAGAAGAGTTGCCACGCCTCGGAAAAATATGAAATTCAACTTCAATTTTTTTATTTTAAATTGAACTATTTTAAATGTCGGGAAAAAATAAAATTATATTATTAGCGTCAATTTCACTTATACATAGTTTCACTACTTAGATCTCTATTCTTCGTAGGACTCTGTATTTCTTTCTTTATGAAGTAATTGGTAGAATACGCATGATTTACAAAGATATGTAAGATATATTACAAGCTCTCCCAGATGAGTTTTTCTTTTCACGCTCGTGAATATATTTAAAAGAATATCTTTTTACAGTTATGTACATATCGTAGTTTTATAAAAAAAAGGACAAGATCATTTTCTCGATGGATAATCGATAATTTGTTTCCTGACAGCCGATCAAGTTTCATTTTGCAATATTGTTTCTTCCTAATCACATTTTGATTGATCCTTTTTGATTCTCGAATTCGTCGAACGCATTAATCATAAGAGGATACCGCTTTTCGGGAACATTACCGCAAATCGAATCTACGAGAGAGCACTTCGATTATCCTATAATTAATGTGCAATCTGTCGCGGTTGACACGTCGAGCGTTCTTCTGGGATAAATCATATTGGAATCACGTTACTGCGATTCCAATGGAATTGCAATCGTAAATAATGTTGATTCGCGGATTACGTTCCGAGATTGATTCGCACGCGATATCGAAACCGAGAATTCGGTACGTGCCCTAGAATGACATCTTAATTTTACGTCTCTGGAAGGAGCGTCCTTAGCTTCCTTCCAAATAATCTCGCAAGAACGAGTTACTCCTTATCTCCGAACATTCATCAAGGATATTATCTGCGAATGGATGGCATCTGCGAATATTTTTCGACGGCAGTCTTTTATAATCGACCAGGTCAAAGATGACCCCTTTTTATGATCGGAGGCGTCCGCACTGTCTTTCACAGATGAACAAGATTATCTTGCAAAGATGCTTCTTCATAGAAGATCCGTTGACAGTGGCGGATTTATTCTTTTTTTCTTTCGAGGATCCGCCAATTCATAACGCCTCTTATTGTACTTTCTTCTTTTGTAATCCTCTCTATTTTTTAATAATTATTATTAATAATAATTATTATTTTGCTACTTATTTCTACCATCATTCATTTCAATCTTAATAGAAATTTTATTAAAAAAAAAAAAAAATTAGCATTTTCTCTTGGCTAAATTTTCTTTACGTTAGCCTCGTGTTCGACGTCCATTTCTACCAATACAGATTAACTTCAATCTCGCTTTAACTTTATTTATTTATTTATTTTCGTTCGAAAATTTAGGAAAAGATAAAAGTAAATTAAACAGAGATTAAAGTTCTACATTGGTAGAAACAGATATAAATCTTGCTCGCTGATATAACATCAATCAGATCGTTTTTCTTTCGTTTTCTCTCGATCACTGGACTAGTGTCACGTTATATTATCCCGTTTGGATCTCCTCATTACCGTGATGCCTATTGAACCGCGTATTTTGCGCAACAGATCTATTATATCAGCCGTTGACATGTGTTCCACACTCTCCTCGTTAACCTGACGAAAGAAGAGATGACAGATTTTAAAATAGAATACAGCTTCAAGATAATATATAATACATATTAATACATAATATAATCCTTTCTGTATTAATTTCTTTAATCTCTTTAAGAAAAAATTATTTATATGTTTCATAAATTTTATTTATCAAGAATATAAATATTACTTTTTTCAAGTTTAATGATCAAAATGTATAAGTTATACAGAGTTAAAACAATAAATATATATATATATATATATATATATATATATATATAATAATATATATAC